CTGGATTCCCAAGATGGCATGAACCAGAATATAATGAGGGAAACCTGCATCATGAAGCCACACGCCGAAGGTCGCGAGGAAGCGGGCGAGAAGTATCCCGCTACGGTAAAGAGTGGCGGGCGGCACGCCAGTGTGTTCTGCTAACCACAGTTCGAACGCATCAATCGATCTCGAGCGACGATCGAGATACGCGGAGGTGAGGTGAGAATCGCGCACGAAGGGAGTGCGCGGAGGGCGAGCGGGCGCGGAAGGCGCAGCCCGACTAAGCCCTTGGCCTGCGGTCGGCGCCGCGGCTCCCAGAGAGATGCAGAGGCCGCAGACGCACCACAGGATGAGCGCAGGGCGGCCAGGGCTGGGAGAGCTGATCAGCGTGGCGGCCCTCCTGCTCCTGGACGCGTAGAAGGGCGGAACGAGGGTGTCCCGCCCGTCGGTCTCGAACCCCGACGCCTCCGCCAGCATCGCCCGCGCCGAGGTGAAGGATCCGCCCATGTTACGGTGAGCACGGCGAGCCCCTGCTTCGATCTCGGCGGGCAGAGCGCCCCCTCCCTCGAGGGTCGCCCAGTCAAAGGGCGGGCGCGGCTCGGCGCGCGCAGCTGCGGCCGATTCGGCGAGCTCGGAACGAGCTGCCGAGGACGTGAGGCCCGAATGATGTGGAACGGGCACCACCTCCGCGAACGCGTCGAGGATCTCGGACGGAGGGGAATGAGATCCCCACAGCGCTGCTGGGATGGCGCCGTGACCGTCCTGCACGTGGTACAGAAGGTCGAAAAGGCAGGCCAACTTGCCCGCGCGCCTCCTGTGCTCGATCTTTGAGCCGAGCCCGATGCCACGGATGGCGCCCGCCCCCATGGCTTGGAGGTCAGCGCCCGCGGGGATAGCCTCGGGCTCGACGGCGGCCACGTAAGGATGCAACCACGAGGCTTCGTCGATCGGCTCGGCGCCGCCTGTCTGAAACAGGCGCTTATAGGCGTGCAAGGCCTGCAGGAGGCAGTGCAGGTCATCTCTGCCCTCGGGCTCGGCGGCCCCTGCGGGTGCGAAAGACCTCAGCCACGACGCCGCGCTCTGGAAGGCAGCTTGCCAGGCGGGTCCCCACCTCACCACTGTGACCTTCTCACCGCCGAGGTTGAGACGCCACGCTAGGGCGGTGGCGGCCCCTGGAGGCAAGGGCTGCTCAACGGCCGCGGAGGCCGTGCGCCGCGCTGCGAAGGCTGCAGCCGCGGCGCTCCCAGCGTCGCCGCTGTGGGAGCCGCTGGGATGCAGCTCGTGCCCTGAATCTCGGCCAGGCGCGGGGCCGCTCGAAGACCCCCTTTCCTCGGCGGCACGCCCTCCGCCCTGCGGGGCCGCAACAGCATCGCTGGAGGAGCGCGTGCCTACCGAAGACTGAGGGGCCTGAGCAGCGGAGTCCGCGCGGGAGCTGCCTGCGTGGGCGTCGCCCGAGCTCGCACCATGGCGGGACGTGGCTGGCCGCTGCGCAGTAGCGGGGCTCGGGCGCCGCTTCGGAGCGACTCGAGGGGAGCGCACCTCGCGACGCCGAGGCGACGTCGCCTGACGCGAAGGCGCGCGAGAGGAGCCGCGCGCGACGGCCCGACTAAGCCCCTGGCCTGCGGTCGACGCGCGGGATCGCGACGCCGCACGCCCACCAGAGTGGTGAGGGGGCGGCGGCGGCGGCGGGGGCACGGGCCGCGGAGTCTCGGAGCCTACACGCGTGCCGCGGCCCCGAGAGCGACTGCGAACCGAGGCGCGAGCGGCGGGCGGAGAGGCCCCCGAGCGGCGAGGGAAGGCCGCCTGCAGGCGGCGGAGGACCTCGGGGTTCAGGCCCGCCACGACGCGCTCGAGGTCCATCGAGGAGTCTGCGAGGGCACTCAGCACGACGTCCTCGAGCTCCGTCGGAGAGTCCTCGTCGCACGCGGGCTCCGCTCTCGAGCGGCTGCGAACGCTCGCGGGCGGGGACCCGTCAGGAGTGTGCGGGCCCTCCGATGCCTCCCCCGCAGGCGGCTCCGACGGCTCCTCGGGCGAGATCGGGCCGTCGACGGGAGGCGACGAGCAGCCCCCCGAGGGAGAGGT